GAGTATGAATATTTCTGTCTTCTGGGTTGTTGCGCTGTGTAGTCTGGTCGATGTTTACCAACGTTTCAGAGGTCATACTGCCTCCGTCATCAGAGTATGAAGATTTCTGTCTTCTGGGTTGTTGCGCTGTGTAGTCTGGTCGATGTTAACCAACGTTTCAGAGGTCATACTGCCTCCGTCATCAGGGCAAGTCTTACAATTATATTGCATCACCGTGTTCATGACATCTACACTCTCGACTTTCGTTGCCTTATTTTCTCTTATTATTATTAGCTTCTGAACAAGAGTCGACAAAAGCCCGCACCACCGTCACACTGAGAGACTCTCTGTACCAACAGCCCGGCCCAGTTAAAATTGTAACCTGGTGCACCCGCCCCACCAGTGAACCTGTTTACCAGCGCACTATGAACGCCTGATGAAATACCCTGTACCATTTAACTACGTATTAAATGGCTCGATGAAGAACAGGTTGTCAATAAGAGAACATATCCAAACCCAGTTACAGTCAGCTGGTGAGATTTTTTGTTAACTTTGACGAACAAGTCAGGTAGCAAAAATCTTAACCGGATGAACGACTGCAAACGAATCACAGTTTTCGTCTATGTCCGCACTTGCTAGAAATAAGTACCACGTCTCCCCCTTCCTGGCTTACTGTTATCCGTGTATCGGTTCCTTCCCAACTCCCAGTGACCAACATCGTAGCAACTTCAGATAGTAACCCAGACAAACGCTCATTCTCATACTTTCAGGAATTTATCTCGTTAGAAACAATTGCGGTGGGAGGCAGCGCGTATTAACTGAGGCAAAGTAATTCGAATTGTCACAAGCCGTTAACCAGCGCAGAGAGAAGACACCCACTTTTCTTCTTGTCAGAAACAAGCTTTCGTGTGAGAAGAAAAACTTTTTTAACTACTTTACTTATTCGTGGCAGCTGAAAACAAGTCGCTGTCGGTGGAATGGGACTTTATAGCAGGTCACGCACTCTGAGGCAGCGACGAAGTGACTACACGACTCCGGGGACCTACCAAAACTATCTTTCTGGGTAAAAGGAAACATCTCTTTCCCGCTATCCCAGGCGAATTGGAACAAAGGCAACATGAAATCTTAACTTCGTTCACAATTATTAACACTGAACCGCACAACTTTGAAAATCTGAAGGCGGTACAAGTTCGGATTGCAGTTATCTGAGCTACCACACAGTGCAATTACGTAACTCGACGTTTCGGAGGAATCTACTGCCTCAGTTTCCAAGGTATCCACTTCGAATAGTACCCGCCGTCATAAACGACGACACCTCAAACCGAGCAAACGTTCATTTGGCTTGTTAGAGTAAACATAACGTAACGTAAAGTTTACAAAAAAAAAAAAAACCTGAATGTGCTTATTTGAAATGAATTATTGTGTAACGTTAGGTTAGGTACAGAAATGATTCCGTCGGGTGTACCGTAAATTCTGGTAATTGGAAACAATATTTACGTAACCTCGCACAGCGATTTTGGTTTCACAGTGGCACTGGGCAGATCATTTCTCATCGATGTTTTTTTCCGACCCGATAAATACTTCATAATTTACCTAGCATCCCTCCACAAACCTCGATTTTATAACCACTTACGATTAAACAGCATTATTGATCAAATCCCGTTCAGACAATATTTTACAATTAAAGGAACATCGAAAAATCGCCATTCAACATGTTTTTGTTGCCTTTAGAATTTTAATTCCGCCTACAGAATGTACCATTAATAATGCATGCGGTTGGATCAATACACATGAAGCTTGTCCAATAAAAGGCTTCGCGGTTGACGCTCGAAGTGCTGGTCGCTACAACGTACCTCTCTCCGTGCGCAACGCGTGTTGCAGCCGCTGAGGCGCAGTCTAACGCATCATCCACTGTTCACCCTTACCTGCACAATATACGGAACACAAAAGAACGGATTAACTATTAAAATACGAAATCTGCTCTCCGATCGGTCACTGCAACTTTAAAGCATTAACGAACATAGTCGCAACGTATATGGACATATACATTATTCAGGATGCAAAAAAAACACATACAGAAGCTTCGTGTACTCCACTACGGACTGCATCTATGCAGAGAGTCCATTACTGTTAATTTACAGACCGAAATCGGCCAGGCTCAGGAACTTACGCTTGTCTTTTTAAAGCTGTGGGCGTTCAGATTTCTGTTGTGCAAACGGCGGTTGTCTTTTTGATCGGGAAAATGTCTACTTCATCCTCCCATCCTTTTCCTTTCATTCATCTGTTTCTTACGTTTATCTCCTCCACCCCTTAGTCACATTTCTCCACTATCTCCCACCTCATTTGCTATTTCTGGTGGTCTTAGCGGTCTAGCGTGAGAAAATACCTAATGGACCCGTACAAGTCTGTCTGTCTGTCGCCTTTTCGCAGGAACAAGCCAACCTCGATGTTCGGGGGTGACTATTACGACCCATTGTCGAGATCAATGATCTCGGATCGCATTATTACAACATCGACCATGGATAGCATTTTTCCTCGGTCACCTTGCTGACGTCACGCCCGTGACGTACTACAACATCGACCATGGATAGCATTTTTTTTCGGTCACCCTGCTGACGTCACGCCCGTGACGTAGTGTGAAGAACGCCTTTAGGAATATAGCATACTCCATACAGTAGACACTTGCAGTTATTAAGACGTCAGATTTGTATAATAAGAGCCAAAGTAAAAATAATTATTATATATTCATTCTGAATAGCTTCCTACATTAAAACTTCAATTTGTTAGCCACGACCAGAAACGTCTGTCCCGTTGTCATGTTTGTAATCGTCGAATTACAAACCATATTTCACGCAATATTTTAGGCATATTCGTCTTCTAAAACCACACAAAACACGCGCCTCGCTCCAACTGTTCACCAGTTATCAAGTCAGTGTGAAAGCCAAACAGAATTCTCACCGGTAACCGCGATTCAGTTTCATCAACACATCAGCTGGTTTCTTCGATTACCTCTAATTCCGCGCCCTCCCGATGCAAGATGCCAACAAACATTTGTTTCTCAGTCAAAGTGGAAAAAGGTATGAAGCCAATCGGTGGGGCCAACTGGGGCCCTCATCTCATGGGACTGGACCGCTGCAGGCCCGTCTGCTTACGGCTTTCGCCATCAAAATTTCCAGCAACCCTCTCGGAAATAATTCCCAACTCTCCAACCTCAACGAGCAGAGCTCTCGACGGATTACAGAGTTCAGACCCCATTTCCGGCTAGCCCAGCGGTTAACTCCCTCACTCCGTTGTAGGATTTACTAATGGTCATTCGTTCCACACTGAGCGTAATATAGAAAAACGTTTCAACTAAAAATTGATAAGCCTTCAACTGGGCTACTTACATTGCACGCACCAACGTCGCTTCCGAGCGGTCAGCATTCTTTCTTCTTCACAGCGCTGTTCTGGGGTTTCCTCAGTCCTTCCAGGCACACAGCAGGGTAGTACCTGAAAGAACGCCCACCAGAACATTCAGTTCCTTTAATATCATCCGACTCACACGACTCAGAGCTGCTAGAAGCGTTGTTTAATAAACTCACGAATGAAATTTGCTTGCAGAATAAAAGTGGACGTGGGTCTTCACGGCGCGGATATACTGGGTTAGCGGCCACGGACAGCCGACAAGGGACGGTCACTTAGCTTGAAAATGTCGCGGGATTAACAGTTCGTGAGAGGAAAAATGCGGTAGTATCAATAGAAATGACCGATCGTACACCTGCTTCTAATGTCGCATGTGATCGCTAATCTATGCTCTGCAAATATGCAAAACTGATTCTGCTAGGGGTAACTTCCTTCAGAACTTTCATAGGCCTGGTAGATGCGCTTACAGAAAGTATTCTGCATTTTGAATCGCGAATCAAAGGAAGAAATCTGCTGTTCCGTAATAATTCGCTCGACTATAAAAAGAATATAAATTACGAAATTGCTAACTTAATCCAGCAAACGAGAAGACAATTTATGGTACGCAAGTCCGGTCTGGAATTCTTGCTGCCAGGTTCATGGACACGACGGACAGTTTCGGCAGCGACAATTTATGGTACGCAAGTCCGGTCTTGAATTCTTACTGCCAGGTTCATGGACACGACGGATCAGTTTCGGCAGTGAGGAACGGAGCATAAATTGGAAATGTCATCTAAACGAATTTCATGACTAGCTGAGCGACTATCATTTTCTCAAGGAGGGCTTTGTTCCTCGGCGTAACAAGGAATGTGCCTCTTCCGTTCCTCCTCCTGACATGTACAGTGCACATAAAATTTTAATTAAATACACATGCTCTGTGATCTCGCGTAGAGAAAGCCGACACGACAAAACAGCATAATTCAGCCCCAGTGAAGGAGCGAGGTGGAGCTTAAAGCTATGACAAAAGCACGAACTAAGCAATATTGCCAGTTACGTGGAAATCTTTGCTAAGAGAGTCAAAGAAAGACCTAGCGACATGCAGACTACGTGGGGCAACACAACAACCAGAATAAGTGAAAATAATGTCCAATGAAAACAGCGCAAATCATTTTTCTTACCAGCAACTGCAAGTAAGAGAACATAAAGAATTAATTAAAATTAACTCAATTAACCTAACAGATAATGAATACAAAAATGTCAATATGATAACAAATAAATAAAAATAACCTATCGGTACAGTGCGTGGGCTGAGACTGAAAACAATAAGATCTTTTAGTAATGTTTACGAAACTGTTTATCGTTCTTTCTCGTTATTTTTAACATTTCAACCCTAAAATTTTTGTTGTGTAAAGGGTTTAAAATGCAACGGCGAAAGTGGGATGCGAAGAACAGAGGAGACTCGATTACTTTACACTCGTACGTGCCTAAAACAGTGGCGACAGTTTGCAGACAGAAACATTTAGCCCACATTAAGCAACAGATGAATCAGGAATCGAGTGCTGATGGAAATGCAATGTAATAAATTACACGCGAGATATACAGAATGTCCCACTTAAAGTGGTAACTGCCATGAAAGCACGCCAGAGCAGCGGCGAGCTGACTAGTCACAACGCATGCTAGGAGGTGCATTCCGAGTTGCAGGGAACACCCTGTATTTTATATGCGGAGCGACGTGTGTGGATTGAAGATCCGAAAGGAAGCTGTCACAGACTTAATGACCTCAGCACACCGACAGATTCATGAAACCATCATTAGCACGCGTCTCAATATTATATTCGAGCTAATTGTTCTACGACACCGGAGGAAATGCTTCTTACACAGAAAGCTATCAACACTTGTACATAGTTAAGTATTAAAATTATTTACATCAGCATGTAATCAACTATATTTTAACAGGTAACTGTTGACATTTAATTTCTTAAAATTACTTCTTCTAATACAGATTAATATTCTTCTATTTTTCCTGGAATATGTTATAAGTAGGGTTCGGATGTTCATGACCTAAAAACCGAGAAATATATATGCAAATATGCCTCCAAAAATAGCTAAATATGACCCAAAAAAGACAAAATATGACCTAATTTGTTATGAAAAAAATATTCGCTAATTTGTTTTAAAGAAAATCCTTTTTGTATTTCAATCACGTTATTTATTTATATATGCATGTACAACTATTACATGACTCAAAATACAACCAAAATATGAATTTTATTAGCAAAATATAACCAAAATATGCATTTAACTACAAATATGACCAAAAACATAAAAATGACCTAAATATGAATTATATGCAAAATAAATACAGTCTAATTGTGATTAGAATAACCCAATTAGTGTTTAATTTCAGTTTAGAATGGAAATAGAATCCCAAATAAAAATATGACATGTCGTGAACATACGAACCCTACTTATAAGTTTGACGTCTAGATGGCAGGATCAAACGCGCTAGGCTGACGTCAGACGTTTAACGTTACGGATCGTTCGTTGCCTGAATGCCAATTTGTGGCCCAATTTTGTGTGACGAGGGGGCAGTTAGCTCGCTGTAATTACTGGCAATCATGCATATCGGTAAAATGATACTGCCAGCCTACTAATCAGCCATCAGCTGAGACTCCCTGCTCCTATCAAATATCTGACAAGCCTGTCGGCCCTGGTGCCCGGCGTCCCTTGGGATATTTTAGGGAACACGAGTGTTACAGGTCGACACTACGTTCAGTAGCCAGTCTGATGATCGGGTAAGCGTTAAGTCGCGATTCTCGGATGATTCAGTAGACTGAATATTGGTTCAGTTAAGAAATTAACATCTACAGTCAACTTAGGTGCAAACAAACAAAATATATGTGAAGTCAAAATGATGGAAACGTTCTTCTGGGGTTTGGCGCAGCGCAGACTCGCAGGCAGATGGCAGCGTTTCCAGGAACACATTGCCGTCTTCAGCCCTGGGCATTATATAACAACGCAAAACATAAAGAAGAATCACATACTGTACATTTTCATTCTTAATGTGTTTACAGTGAACTTTTAAAAGTGCCTTTCTCTTTTATGTAATAACACGACAAAAGCTGAAAGGAATTTCATCAAATTTAAAATTGCGGGAGTTTTAATCAAATTTTGGTTGGCTCGGAAAACAACTGGAACTTTACACGAACGCAAAACGTACTTAGATGCGTTTCCACAATCCGTAATTTGTGCTACTTGTAAGACAACACAAAAACTTATCATTCACGAGGCAAAAACAAGGCGAACGCGTCCAAACTTAGAGCTTCCGGAATTATCCTTTCCGTGTGCTGAAGGTGTTTCAGTAAACAGCCGCAACATTTCAACGCATGGCTATTTTCCGAAACCTTACAGTGCTGCACTGAACTCGGAGTACAAAAATCTGCGAAGAAGACAGTCCCAACTGCTCTGACCATTTTTCATCCTTCGTCTCTTGGCGGTTGTCGCTTTCCACCCACGGGTTGGCCGAGCACCATTCTCCAGTGGCATTGCGTGGGACTAGACATCTCGAACTCGGGAACCGTGGACATCTGTGTTGTGCTGCCCTTTTCAGTTCAAGGCCTTTCGACGGGACCACCGAATATCAAGAAAGATGAACGAAGAACTGATAGGAACGTTCCAGACGAGGGCCAGAGCTCGGACGGTGCTTAACACCCCCACACGCGGAGAACCGTCTGGGACTGATTAATCTGAAGCCGGTTTTTCTCCGTATCTGCACAGCTTCAAATCGCCCTTCTTCGATTCACTGCTTCAGTATGACCGCATCATCCCAAGAGTTCAGACTTTCGATTCGCAATCAGATACATAAGCAAACAATTCGCCTCGAAATTCTGTTGTATCCCGGAATTGGAAAATTGGGTTTGCAGATCCTTGGGGATGCTGGCGGCAGGTGCAGAGAGATTATTACTATTTCAGATATTTGTTACAACGTGAAATAGGCTAAGTTGGCAAACACTCCAATAGAGAACTCGATCTCAATCGAACTATTACAGCAAAACGGAGAAATGCTATCCAAACTACTGAAATGTTAACTGAGAAGAAAGAGATGGAAATTTTAGATGTGGGCTGTGTCCAGCGTAACTCCAACCTTGACGCTAACTCAGTGATTAAATGTCTAACTGGTCTAGTGATACAAAACTATAAATTGATTCCATTAATCACTTTTAATTAATGTAGAATGTTACAAAAGAAAGTACATCTCTCAGTCTTTAACACTCTTGGTAAGTTCACAATGCGAATCTAGCTGGAACCATAAATTAGTACGACGCCGCCGAATGCACATTTGTTCCAGGATGTGACCTCGAGGTTCGCATCACCGCCTTTTTTTGTACGTTTCGACATACAAAAATGTTTCATACAAAATATGTTGGTATGATTACGGCATAACTCAAAACAGAGTTTCAAAGCCGCAGTTCAGATGATTCAATAGTTTCAACAATAAAATACGAGGTAAAATGCAGACTTCACCAAATCAGCGCACTGCTTCTCAGAGTATTAAACTACTCGACGAATTCCAATATAATCTCGTGCCGGCGCTGCGCAATTATTACCTCTTCTCTACGTGCGCGGACAAACTTTATTGGTGTTCCGACAAATAACCCACGGTTCAGAAAAGGAGCATCACGGTTTAAAATTCCCATTCAGAACTTTCAGGTTGTGGGGAATATTTAACAAAGTGAAGGGAAACATTTCCAGACTTCTGTGTCGCGTTATCTGCCGTACGATTAGCCTTTTAATGACGCATTTTTTCTGTCGTAAACGAACATCGGGATAGAAAACAAATAATCAATTTTGTAAAAAAAAAAAAAAAATGTATTCCAGGCTCGTCCTCACTGCATGTATCACACAGTTGAGTAGGAAACTATATTTTTTAATATCATTAAATATTCAATAGACTCCGTGTGTCTGTGGCCTCCTGTACACACGTTCCGCATAAAATGACAGAGAATATTATTCTACTTCAACAAAATTGACGTTTTCAGGAAGGACACTGCACATGCAAAGTGTAAGAACATTTTGGGCAATCTGAATTCATTACTGAGTAAATGTGA